AAACTTCTGTTCCCGGCCAGCCTTTGGAATTACTCAAGCCAAGCACATCCACGTTGCTGTACCCAAGTGTCACTAGAAAGCCTGACTTGTTTAACCCTTGCTGGTTCTCACTATTCCTAAGTGTAACTTTCATTAACCCTGAATGACATGCAGGATCTTCCTCCTCGAAGCTGTGACTGTATATGGCTAATAAACTGTGGTCTATCTCATTGATCTAGTGTTGCTGTCATGTTTGTCCATCATGTACTACTTAGGTCACCAATGGGGTAAATAGGAAAGTGGCTTTATCTGTAACCAATGAGGTAAGACGTAGTCAGACCATACCCTCACAGACGGTAGCAGCATGGGAGGCCTACCTATCAGAGGCAGAGAACGTGTGTTCCTCAGCGAGAATACCTGGTTATTAGACAAGAGTGCCACTTAATCTCATTACAAAAACCAATGTTCTATCTTTTTAAACATTTTATTGGGGCTTGTACAACTCTTATCACAATCCATACATACATCCATTATGTAAAGTAGGCTCTAATTTAAACAGCAGTACTAGGCATAAGGAATGTTCTACTTTCAATGAAAGTTGTCTGAAAGGCAGATTTAACCACATCTGAGCCTTCGTGAAGGAGAAATCTATACAGCTGTCTAGCTTGTCATTACCTGATAATACTTTAATTTTTATAAATACTGTGGTTAAGTTAAACCTTATTCAATTTAACTTTTAAAACAGAGTGGTTTTGTGGTTTTGAACAAGATTTCTGATTTTCTCTAAAAACTATTTTACTATCTTAATTCTTTTAATTGAGGCAACTATGTGATAAAGTTCTAACAGAACAATGTAAATAGAATAAGCTATTGAAAATTAAATCATGAAACTTAATTTGATGGCACAATACCTCACCTTAGTTTATTTTTATTTTAGTAATGTGTACAGTTTCTTTCTAAATGTCCCTTGTTAGATTGTAGAACTACAGACACCTATGCTCAATTCAAGTTTTTCCTTCTACTATTCCAAAAACCATAAAACATTTCATATAATCTGAAAATGAGTTTATTTTCAAACCAGATTATATTCTATGTGAAATATATAAAGGCAATGTAGTATTAGTGGATTAGTACCCAGGCTTTGCAGCAAGACAGATACAGAACTAGGCAGCTGAATACTCAGTTTAACCTTTATTCTTCCTTTCTTCCACAGCACATACCTAACATTACAGCTAGTAAACCTTTTACACAGTCGATTGTTCCAAACACTTTTAAAAAATTGTATTTGTTAAACATGTTTTTAAGTACCATCAAGTCAGTTTCAATTCAAAGCTACCTCAACTCAAAGCTACAAAAGATCAAAGCACTGCCCAGTCCTGAACCATCTTCACATTTGTTATGTTCAAGCCCACTGTTGCAGCCACTGTGTCAATCCATCTTGAGGGTCTTTTTTTCTGCTGCCCTTTTATGTTCCCGAGCCTGATGCCCTTTTTCAGGGAATGGACTCTCCCGATAACATGTAGAGAACATGACTTGAAGTCTCACCATCCTTGCTTCTAAAATGCATCTAACGGCACCTCTTCCAAGGCAGATCTGTGGGTTCTTTTAGAAGTACATGTTGCTTTCAGTATTCTTCCCTTCCTTATTCAATGTCCAACTTTCACATGCATAAGAGGTGACTGAAAATGCCCTGGCCTGGCTCCTTGCCTTTCAACAGTTTAAAGTAGTCTCTGGCAGAATATTTACCCAATGAGTCATTTGACCACCTTCCATGAGCACTGATTGTGAATCCAAGCAAGATGAAATTTTTGACAACTTTAATCCTGTCTCCATTTATCATGAATTACCTATTGGTCCAATTGTGAGGATCTGGGGTTTTTTGACATTAAATTGCAATCCATATTGAAGGCTGCAATCCTTAATATTTACCAGTAAGAGTTTCAAGTCCTCCTCACTTTTGGAAGCAAGGTTGTGTCATCTGCATATCAAAAGCTGGTAATAAGCCTTCCTCGATCCTGATGCTGAATTCTTTTTCATATAATTCCAGCATCACAGCAACACAAAAGCCACCAAAGTACAATAAACTGACAAACGGTGGTTCTGTAACATACCTTACCATTAAATATTAAAGTAAGTCAAATGAGAAGGAAAAAGAAGATTCTTGCTAAACAAAATAGGCTATTTTAGTCAGTAACAGCAGGCCATTAAAAACATGCTGTTAAATTTGTCATGGGTTGTTGTATGCTATATGTCACCAAGTCAACTTTGACTTACAGTAACCTGAAAAAATAAGGGAAAGCAGCCCCAGGGGCTACCAAGGCTGTAATCTTTATAGGAACAAATAGTCAAGTCTTTTCTCCCACAGAAAAGTAATGAGTTCCAAATGCTAATCTTTAACTTAGCAGCTGTTTTCCCACTGCCCTACCAGGGCTCCTTATTTTGGGGTGAAATAAATTTTATATAAATGAAGTTTTAAATAAATCAATATATTTATATAAATACTTTTTACATAAATAAAATTATAAAATATGGAAGAATATAACATTCCAAAAGAAGATGCATTCATACTGTTTCACGTGGTTTTATGCTGCCCCACGTCAATGAAAAACCAACTGAAAATCATGAGCTATCATGTGCTATCACAAGCAAAACATACAAAATGAAAATTCCAGCAAATAATCCCTAAAAAGCCCTGATTGTAAAGCAAAAGGTTTACTAATGGACCTAGCATAGTGTCTCCACAAATACATGTAAACATGTAAATGTACACATGCATTTAACACAGAGTACACATAGAAAACATGCCTGCTACTTATATAAAAAAGCATGTAACTTATTTAATACATATTATTTGTATAATATTGTATTTCAACTGATTTTCAATTAAATATTTAACAGATTAAAACCAACTCTAAATAAATACAGACCTTTAAAAATGTTTCCCTGTGGAGTATGAAATCCTGAGAAATTTCAATCAAAATAAATAAAATTGTCCCACATCCATAAAATGTAATTTCACCATGAAAGACTAGTTTGTTTTATACTTAAAGGCACTGCCACTGAATCCATTCCAACTCACTGAGTCCATTCCAACCCCCTACGCAGGAGTCTAAAACTTTGTAAATGTTTATGGAAACAGACAGCCTAGTCTTTTTCCCTCTGAGCTGCTAATGGATTTGCACAGCCAACCTTGTAAGAAACAGCCCAACTCAGGGACTTCATAAAATGTTTTGCTAGTGGGCAATCACATGCATAGCAGGAAAAACATTACAAGTAATACTGTTCTACAATTTTTCTTTGTAAACAAAGTAGGTTCCTTATAAATAGGTAGCATCTTTGAGATACAAACTGGACTTACTTACCTACCCAGTTACTATTAAGGATAGACTCCGTCTAGTCTAATAAAGAGGTTTCAATTGATTCATACACAATATATGAGAATCTTCACTTCAATTCTGACTTCATCTCAGAATGGATTTAAATGGATTTAAACTTAGAACTACATGAATTCTCTACTTCTATAGTTGTCGAGGGATTCCTGGTGGAACTATTGGTGTTGGGCTGCTAATCATAAGGTCAGCAGTAAAAACCCTCCAGCCCCAGCTGAGGGAAAAAGATGAGATTGTCTGCTTTTGTAAAGATTTACAGCCTCAGAAATCGTATATAGCAGTGGTTCTCAACCAGTGGGTCACGACCCCTTTGGGAATCAAAGGACCCTTTCACAGGGGTCGCCCAATTCATAACAGTAGCAAAATTACAGTTATGAAATAGCAATGAAAATAATTTTATGGTTGGTGGTCACAACATGAGGAACTGTATTAAAGGGTCATGGCATTAGGAAGGTTGAGAACCACTGCATATAAGGTCACTATGAGTTTGAAGATTAACTTTTCTTTGTGTTGAGGCAACATTTCATTACTTTTGTATTTGAACACTATTGCTAAATAAAAATCTTGATGGGAATTATTATTTCTTTCAAGAAATATTTGTTGAAGCGCTGGCTTACCATGTGCTTGGCATGTACACTATGGGTAAAGTGGGTAGTATGCAGAGTCTATGTGCTCCTTACCTCAACGTCTGAAAGGGCAGTCAATTAGCCTGGAAAAGTATAAACAGGGAGGAAGCTTTGGAAAAACCCAGACTTAAATCCTAGCTCTACTATCTGCTATGCATTAGACCAGTTCACTAATGTCTCTTTCTTTCGTTATAAAATGAGCTTAAAAGCTACAACTTCACAATTATTTTACAAATTAAATGTAAAAATTACATAAAGCACAATGGTGTGAACATTACTGTTCAAAATATCCCCAAATTCAGCGTTTGACACATATAGTTTATTCAACATCTCCTGAATGAATATTTGAGCAAAAATCCTTAAATGTCTTTTCTAAAAATGATTATGTACACCACAGTTTGTACAATGGAACTCTGGATTAGGTTAGAGGTCAGAACACACCAGGCAGCCCCCAAGAGTGAGATGAAGTCCTCCACCCCTGTGCAGACATCCAGTCTCAGACACCCTGCACAGGAATCACATTCATGGCAGTACATTTACTGTTTGCTTTATGTTTTAGATTTGTTTGTTTCTTTGTTGCACAAAATATAAGTAATTAACACCTTTCTCTTTGCTTTATGCTCTTCTTCTATTTATGCTTTCAAATGTTTAGTTATGTTCATATACATATGAATGTCATCTAGGAATTTAAAAGAACAAAAATTTTTATAAACCACATACTGACCCAAACTGCATACCCTTGCCTAAAGCAAAATTTGATAGGCAATTTAAGTAACAAATGCATAAATAAATATCTTGTCAGAATAGCCCATGCCCTCACTACAAGGCATAGCAAAATTAATTCACCAACCACACTGACAATTGAGTCCACCAACCTAAACAAATGCATGAATACAAAGGTGCTTCTGAGCATCACTTTTTACATAGCTCAACATTATAAAATGTTGCTGAAAACATTATTTTGAGTTAGTATGGGTAAAATCATTTTATGAATGCTAAAATTTACCTGCTTGAGTCCTTCATCAGTCAGTTTGTCCTGGTTGCCTACATGCACTTTCTGAAGTAAAGGACAATGAGAGGCAACCGCAATAATAGAGGTGTCCGAAAGCTGTTTACACCTGTAGGCTGTATACCTAAGAAGTCCAGGACACTTGAATGCTAACACACACACGCCAGTATCGGACATACTGCGACAATCAGAAATGTTGATTTCAATGATATTCTGACTTCTTGATGCAATTTTTTCCAATAATTCATCAGTGACCTATAAGAGGAAAAAAAAGAAGTTCAAACTTTTGCTAAAGATAGACCATATTTTCTAGATTTTTATTAAATTTTCCCCAATGAATATATAAAAAATAGATTATTGCATGAATACCACAAACAAAATAAAAACATTTTTATTTCATATTACAGCAAAACAAGAATATGCATGCTAGTTTTAATTTAAAACCTAAGATCAGTCACTAGTGGGATGACTCAATTTAATTCAACTTCACTAGACTCACCAAAAACTCACCACAAACAAAACAGCATTGTGATTTTAGATATTTATTTTTAGCCCAGCAGTGGTTAGACCATCAAGTTATGAATCTTGTCTTTTTCCAGTTGATATAAAATGATTTCACAAAGTTAATTTCAATTGTTTTGCCATTTCGATCAAAATACGATTTCACATACAAGTAGGTTTCAAAACAGTTCAAGGCAAAATTTTATTCTTTTAATTCCATTTTCTCAAAAACTTTTGAAGCCTTCTCATACGGCATAGGAAATACATCACTTTGTATGGTATCAAGATACCGACATACCAAGCTGTTGGTCTGCGACAAACAGCTCTTCTCAAAAGACTAATGCTACTTAGAAGTAATCTTAAAATAAACATGATGAAAACTCATGCAGCCATCTGAAAAAATAGATTAATTACTATATACATGTATACTCATGTCGGTATAGATAATACAGATATCCCTCACCCAAATTTCTAAAAATAAAACAGTTAGTATTTTCAAGTCTTTTGGGTAAGTAAAAGAAACAAAACACACATGAGCTTCAGAATCGGAGGAGGAAAGAACTGGTATCCAGGAGCAACAACAAACTCTCTTTTTACTTACAATGCACACAGCACAGTTCCTAGTTCCCACAAAGGCTAACCTCTGTCATATTTGTTTTTCCTTTTCCAGCCCTCACTACCAGAAGCAGGGGAGAGCTATTCTTAGTTTAAGTTTACAATAACGAGTTATGATACCCAGGGGTAATGAAGTAAAGAGCCATGGATTACTTGACACTTGCCTTCTCTCCCGTCTATCACCTACAACTAGCCAAATACTTACCATTCTCCTGGACCCATATTTCATGGGCCCAGGTGGGTAAGTGACTAATTCTATAAAACAGAAAGAGAATAAATTTCCATATATACTCAAGTATAAGCTGACCCGAATATCAGCCGAGGCACCTAATTTCACCACAAAAACTGCATAAAAAATGTGCTGATAAACATGGCTTATACAGGCGTATATATGGTATAGTATGTTCTGAAACTATATAGTTTTGTCTAAAGTACATGATTTATATGGTACGAGTGATGTGCTGGAATTGGCCCTTAACAATTCACAGCACCCAGTTGTGTACACCTTTTTCCAAATTTAGTGACATCACATTGGGAACGTGAAGTTGGTTACAATAGTATTTACATCCTGGAACCTGGCAAGACAAACATAAGGGATTCTTTTGGGGGGAAGGGGGGTGGGAGGGGGTAGGTAGAACCTGATTATTAAACCTCTACCAGCACAACACCGTGTACTACTAACATGGGATAACTTAGAGATTTAAAATATCATATATACTCATGGACAAGCTGAATTTTCCAGCACATTTTTAATGCAATTTTTGTGGTAAAATTAGGTGCCTTAGCTGATATTCGGGTTGGCTTGTACTCGAGTATATACAGTACTGAAATTCTTACTGTATGTTTTCATTTATTTCCAATGTAAACTATTGACTACCAAGTTTGAGGAGTTAATCAAAAATTCCAACAAACTGCAATCATCTCCGTGAACTCTAACTTTGTCCTAATCTATGCCAATGATACACATATTGGGCAACCACTTAAAAATGGTAGAATAGAAAATCATAAAAAGGAAGCGAAAAATATATATATTAATTTGACTTCGATCTCTTCATGTGGGGAAAAAAACCCACAGGAAAATAACAGTACAAACCTAGAATTACTGTAAGGGTTAAGTAAATCAGTATGTATGAAACTTACAGAACAGTCTATGCTTATTATTGAAGTATAATCCATAATGAAGGCTTTGATCTTCATCAGTAAGTGCTTTAAATCTTCACTTTCACCAAGCAAAGTTCTGACACATGTAGATGGCAGGTTGTTAATAAATTTTCTTTCAATCCTGATGCCAAGTTCTTCTTGATATAATCCAGCCACCCACTACTATTTGCTCACCATCCAAACTCAATGTGTGGTGAAATTACATAACCTTGACACACACCTTTTTTCTTTTTTTAAATTAAAAGATCATTTTATTGGGAGCTCTTACAGCTCTTCTAACAATACAACATTGATTATATCAAGCATATTTGTGCATATGTTGCCATTATTTTCTAAATATTTACTTTTTATTGAGCCGTTGGTTTCAGCTCCTCTTTCCTCCCCCTCTCCCACCCTGGCCCATGACCCCTGATAAATTAAAAATTATTGTTGTCTTATCTTTTTTTAATCATTTTATTGGGGGGCTCATATATCTCTTATCACAATCCATACATACATCCATTGTGTCAAGCACATTTGTACATTTGTTGTCATTATCATTCTCAAAACACTTGCGTTCTACTTGAGCCCCTAGTATCAGCTCCTCATTTTGTCCCCTCCCTCCCTCATGAATCCTTGATAATTTATAAATTATTATTATTTTGTCATGTCTTGCACTGTCCGATGTCTCCCTTCACCCAGTTTTCTGTTGTCCATCCCCCAGGGAGAAAGTTATATGTAGATTCTTGTAATCAGGTCCCCCTTTCTACTAGACCCTCCCAGTATCACCATTCTCAGCACTGGTCCTGAAGGGATCATCTGTCCTGGATTCCCTGTGTTTCCAGTTCCTATCTGTACCAGTTACATCCTCTGGTCCAGCCAGATTTGTAAGGTAGAATTGGGATCATGATCGTGTGTGGGCGGGGGGTGAAGGAAGCATTTAAGAACTAGAGTAAAGTTATATGTTTCATCATTGCTACACTGCACCCTAACTGGTTCGTCTCCTCCCGCGACCCTTCTGTAAGGCGATGTCCAGTTGCCTACAGATGGGCTTTGTGTCCCGAATCTGCACTCCCCCTCATTCACAATGATATGATTTTTTGTTCTTTGATGCCTGATACCTGATCCCTTGGACACACCTGATCCCTTCGACACCTCGCGATCTCACAAGCTACTTCTTCCATGTGAGCTTTGTTGCTTCTGAGCTAGATGGCCACATGTTTACCAACACACACCTTTCTTGATTTTAAACCATGCAACACCCTTTTGTTCTATTCAAACAACTGCCTCTTGGTCTTTGTTCTACTCAAACAATTGCCTCTTAGTCTAGTGTAGATTCCACAGGGGCACCATTAAGCATTCTAGAAAATCCTCATTCTCCACAATGTTATCTAAAATTTGTTATAAGCTGCATAAATGAATGTTTTGCATAGTCAAAACAACATAGGTAAACACCTTTCCAGTATTTTCCGTTTTCAACCAAGATCCATCTTACATAGCAATATTGTCGCTCATTCCACATCCTTTCTAAAGCCAGTTCAAATTTCTGGCGGTTACCATTTGATACATTATTAACAACAGTCTTCTAATTATTTTTAGCAAAATTGTGCTTGCATAAAATACTAATGGTATTATTCGATACTGTTTGCATCCTATCAGGTTACGTTCTTTGAAATGGGCACAAATATGGATCTCTCTTCAGACAGTTGCTCAGATAGCTGTGTTCCAAATTCTTTGGCATACACAAATGAGGGTTTCCAGTGCCACATCTACATGATGAAAAATCTCAACTGGTATTCCTGGAACCTTGCTTACTGCCAATGCCGTCATTACAGCTTGCTTATCTTCCATTAATACCGTCAGTTCTTCATCATGGCTAACTCTTGAAGTAGCCCATTCTTTCTTGAGATATTAGTTCTTTGTATTCCTTCCATATTATTTTGATGCTTCCTGCATAGCTCAACATTTTGTGAATACAATTCTTCAATATTGAACTCAAGGCTTGTTTTGTTTTTTGTTATTTTTATGCCACATGATGTTCAGCTTAAGAAATGCAAGCAAGTTCTTTCCTCTGATTTTTCTAAGTTCAGTTCTTGGCACATTTCATTAATATTCTTATTTGGCTTCTAGAGCTGCTTTTTGAAATCTCCTGTTAAACTCATTTGTTCCATCTGTTTAACACCTCTGCATTCACAAGGACGTTTCACTCTCTTCTGATACCATGTTGGTGTTTTGTCTTTCATGTCCTTTTACAAGCTTATTGCTTGTCTGATGTCCATGATGTCATTTCACAACTCATTTGTCTCTGTCCATTAGTGTTCAATGCATCAAATCTATCCATGAGATAATCCATAAATGCAGGTAGGACTTACTAAACATCACACTTTGCATACAGGAAGTACTATAACAAACATTTGTGATTATCTTCTATTACTGTACTAATAATCATAATATGTGTAGTTAGTCACAATCAGGTTACCTCTGGCTCATGGTGACCTTATGTCTAACAGAATGAAACACTGCCCAGTCCCTACACCATCTTTACCACAATCCTTTGTATGTTTTAGTTCATTGTTGTAGCAATTGTGTTCCTGCATTTAATTAAGGGTTTTCCTAATTTCTATTGGTCTTCTACTTTACCAAGCACGATATCCTTTCCTAGAAAGTAGTCTCTCCAAATGTCATCTTCAAAGCACCATACATACTCGAGTATAAGTCGACCTAAATATCAGCCAAGACACCTAAGTCGACCACAAAAACTGCATTAAAAATGTTCTGGAAAACTCAGCTTATATACAAATATATACAGTTCGTGGGTAAAGTCTAAACATCCTCAATTCTAAGGGGCATTCTTGTAGTTCTTCTAGGACTAATTTGTTACATTTTTTGGCAGTACACAGTATATTCAGTATTCTTCACCAACACCACAGTTTTTACATTATCCAACTTTTCATGTCAGCCTTTTTCATTTTATAACTCAAATACATTGAATAAATATACTGCACAAGACCACTTTACAGTGTTAAAAAGCAAGGATGTTACTTTGAGGACTAAAGTGAAATTGACCCAAGCTATGGTATTTTCAATAACAACAAATACGTGTAAAAGTTGATGAGATAGTTAAGGTACATTGTGGCAGCCTGGCCAATAAACACATGTGGGACTAATTGGAGGGTGGCGGAGAGATAAATGGCTTGGTGAGCCTCGCCTTTCTTGGTCTCTTGGTCTCTTGCTTTCTGATGGTGAGACCAGGGTGCAGCTGCCTTAGCCAGTTCCCTGCTTTAGCTGGCAAGGCTCACTTCCTGTGGGATATCCCTGAGGAGAAGCCACATGGACCTACCCTGATGCGGCCCTGGGTGTTGGAGCTGACGTGTGGAGACCCCAGCCTGCGCTGAGATGCTTACATACTCACTGATTCGGCTTTCCTCCTCCAGTCGGTGTCATTGCGTGTGTTTTGTGAGATTGAGGAGAACTTTGCAGATAGGTGTCGGACATATGGGCTAATGTTGGACTTATGGGCTTGGACAGCACTGGGTTGGGATGCTCTTAATGTACACTTACCCTTTAGATAAAACTCTCTCTTATACATATGAGTTTCTGTGGATTTGTTTCCCTGGTTTATGCAGACTAACACAGTTGGATATTGAATAAGGAACCAAAGAAGAATGAACGCATTTGAATTATGGTGCCAATGAAGAATATTGACAATATCTTGGACTGCCAAAAGAACAAATCTGAAGTATAGCCAGAAGCTTCTTAGAGGCAAGGATGGTGAGACTTCGTCTGATGTACTTTGGACATGTTATCAGAAGAGACCAATCCCTGAAGAGGATACCATGATTGCTAGAGAAGCAGCAAATAAAGAGGACGGCCCTCAATCGATGGACTGACACAGATACTGCAAAAATGGGCTCAAATACACGAACAACGATGAGCATGGCTCAGGGCAGGGTTGTGTTTCTTTCTATTGTACATAGGGTCAAAAGCAACTCACATATGCATGATGTGACTGAAAAGACCATGGATGGCATGAGTCAGACAAAATGAGCCAGTGTTCCAAATGGCACCTCTGTTATTAAAAACTTAGGGAAATTCTTTTGACCTGATCTGCCCAACGCACTGTGACATTCTGATGTACTGACTGCTACTTCCATGGATGTTTCTTGTTGATCCACATAGAAAGAACCTGCTGTTAATTTCATCTTCGTCTGCATTTATCACACTATTTATAGTCAGTTTTGAGGATTTTTATTTTCTTCATGTATAATCTGTGCTGAAAGGTATAAGTAGTGTCTGACTTTCATCAGTAGTATTTCAAGTTATATTTTCTTCAAGGAATTTGTAACACCTGAAAATTACTGTCAGTGTGTTACACTGTTGTTGATATGATTCTGGAAGCCAGGCCACTAGAATTTCTAAAATTATTATAGTCAGCAAAGTTTTCAGACTACAAAAGACTAGGAAGAAAGGCCTGACAATATATTTTTTAAATTATGCAATTGATCATAGTATTTTCAAAAATAAGAAAAATGTGTATTTTTTAAATGGAAGTGACAAAAGAAAAGAGAGTAAGAAGAAAACACTAATTAGCAGCCAACATTAAGAAATCATGTACACCATGAGACATTGGCTTCAACTTGAATTCAAATACACACACACACACAAATCACAATAATACATAGCACCATAGATTAAAATTATTTGAAGTAACTATGTTAAAAGTTATAGTAAGAAACATTATTTCTGAAAAGTAACAAAGATATTTTTTAATTTAGTAGGTCAAATTCACTTTTTCTCAGAATCAAATTCCATACCTGCTGACGGCTACTAAGGTCCAGCTGCTTCCAAAACTGGAAATCTAAACAAAGATCACGCCAATACTTGCAAACCAATGATGCAGAAAGGCAACGCTCATCCAGGGACAAATTGGAAAATATCTATAAAGTGAAAAGGAAGAATATGTTAATACATAGCAAATATTTTTAAAGCATAGAAAAAAAAGCATAGGTAGGGTTATTTATTTGTTAGGTAATAATTACTTTATACAGCATGGGAGGGGAACATTTGGCAAAGGAGCCTAAAATCATTAATACTAGCTAACATCACACACCTCAGCAAAGAGAAGCAGTTCTAGCCATCACATCAGGGTGAGTTAATTAAATGTTGGACCAGTATGGCCTGTGAATTATGTCATAAATATTCAAGTGGTCTTAGGACAAAAAAGGTTCCCCACCCATGTTTTAGAGTATAAGACAACCTTGCATACCATTATCAAGAGCATCAGTGTTCGGGCCTATTCTAAAGAGAAGGTGTGGTGTAGGAGTTTGAGAACAAGGGTGCTGTTACAGTTGAGCTAAGACCACTGGAGAATGAGCAAAGGAGGAGGTGTGTGGGGCAGGAGAGGGGGTGGGGTTGGACATTCTTATATGTTTTAACTGAAAAGATAATCCAAAAACTAATTTTTTTTAAAATTCTTAACCTTTGGAGGAGGGAGAAAAAAGAGAGGACATAATGAATGTACACTGTGTTGTTTTTTTAACCTTATGATTAAACTTAAGCAAATGATGGAAAAAAACCTAGAACAAAAATCATACAGAGAAGACATAATAAATGTACATAGCTTTGTTTTTATTTTTAACTTATACTTAAAGCAAATTATTAAAAAAAACAATCCTAGAACAAAAATCACATCTAAAGTATTTTTTCTAGAAACTCATAACCCCAGCCTCATACTGAGATAAACATCACACCCAAATGAGGGGCATTCTAAAAAATATGTGACTAGGAGGACTCAAAAAAACTAAGGTAAAGAAAAAAAGCCAGGATGACTGAGAAATGACCATGCACCAGAAGAGACCATGGAACTAAGGGGACAAATAATACAATCCCAAACATTAATGGGAAAACTGGTAAAATCCAAATAAAAACTGGGGTTTTCTTCATAGTAATGTACCAATGTTGGTTTCTTAATAGTGACAAGCATGCCACAGTAACATGAGAGGAAACTGAGAATGGATGAGGGGTATACAGGAACTCTGTATCCTACATTTGTCACTGTTCTGTAAGCTTAAAATACTTGAAAACGGAATATTTGTTTTCTTAATATTTTTAAATAGTAGATCTTAAGAATGGGAGGATCACATCTAGGACCAATAGGTTTTTAAAACTAATACAATGTGTGGAGTATACTGAGATTCTGAATTGAACCTAAAAAATATTTTATTGAGAAAATCAGATAAAATTGAAAACTAAAGTTACTAGAAGATTTATATTAGCCTTCCCTTTTCCAAAACTCAAACTCACTGCCATCAAGTAGATTCCGACTCATGGTGGGCTAGAGGCCAGGGTAGAACGGCTCCTGTGGGTTTATGAGACTGAACTCTTTATTGGAGTAGAAAGTCTAATCTTTTTCTCCAGAGGAGAGGCTGCTAATTTCAAACTGCCAACCTTGAGGTTATCAGCCCAATGTGTAACCATATACCACCAGGGCTCCACTTATTTTTTTTTTTTATTTAATCCTTTTATTAGGGACTCATACAACTCTTATCACAATCCATACACACATCAATTGTGTAAAGCGCATTTGTACATTCATTGCCC